AAATGTTTGAACTTTTTAATTTGGAATGCCACTAAATATAGTTAGTTTTAAGCAAAAACTATATCCTCAGATAAAAACATTAAAGAAAAATAGGCCATTTTCATAGACTAATGAAGATATAGACGACGAAATACTCAGAAAATGCGCAGTCAAGTGACTCAAAATAAAAAACTCAAAAATTTTTAAAGACGTTTTTTGGGGAAAATCTCCACAGTTATCCTAAATCCAGGTTTCAGAATTCCAAATCTATCGGTTCATCCACAATTCAATTTGTACCAAATTTAGTACACAGTAGTACGAATTTCCAAAACTTCCTACTTAACCCAAACCTACACCTCCACAGTGATCATAAATCCAAGTTCCAGGATTCCAATTCTATCGGTTTATCAAAAAAAAAAAAAAAAAAATAAATAAATAAATAAAATAAAATAAAAAAAAATAAATAAATTATAAATTTAGTACACAGTGGTACCAATTTCCAAAACTTCCTATATACTCCAACCCTACACCCCCATAATGATTAAAATCCAAGTTTCAGGCTTACAATTCTATCGGTTCACCCACAATTCAAATTGTACCAAATTTAGTACACAATAGTACGAACTTCCAAAACTTACTACATTTTTAAAACTTCCTCCATATCTCGATCTTACACCTCAATAATGATCATGACTCCAAATTTCATGATTCTAGCTCTATTGGTTCGCCTAAAATTCAAATGGTACCAAATTTAGTACCCATTGCTTAAACTGAACCTACACCCTTACAGTGATTCTGACTCCAAATTTCATTATTTCCTCTCTACTTAAAGCCATCAAATCTTGTCACATCAAATCCGAAGCCGTCCTCAAGTGTAGAGCAGCTCTGGAAGAACTTAACCGTAGCTATCGGTTGCGTTGGGTACCAGGACATTGTGACATTTTGGGTAATGACGAACTAGCTAGACGAGGATCTCAATCCACCGATCTAGAAACTGATGACTCAATCAAACCACCCATATGTCTTTTCTATAGGAATTTTGAGGCATTCTTTGACGAAACAGCCTGTGAACTTTGGCACAACGAACCTAGGTGCAACGTGTCAAGATCCATTTGGTCGACTCTGTCTACCAAAAGAATGCGCTCACTATTGAACCTGAGTAAAGCCGAAATTAGAGTGGTGACAGGAATCATCACTGGTCACTGCAACATCAGGGCCTTTACTAGTAAATGGAATCTCGATGCAATTGATTACTGTAGACTCTGTGTTGACGAGGAGGAGACGGAGACAATTGAGCATCTCCTGTGCCAGTGCCCAGCCCTGGCTTACAGGCGCCACAGACTAATGGGTGCTCATTTTCTACCTAGTCTCAGCCTCTTCTCAACAACCGAACCTGCTCTAATCTACAGCATAATTAGAAACATAAAGTGGTTAGGAGCATACAACCTTGGCACGTAACACTTTTCTGTCTGACTCATAGGACCGTCGACCTTCACGGTCTCAGAGTGTTGCAGTCATACACGTGACTGCACATCCCCAAACCTAACCTAACCTACCAAATTTAGTACAATTTCGTACTTTCGGATAGTTATAGTTCGAATTTTCAAAAACCCTTTGGTACATCTATCCTACACTCCATCAACGACCACCAATCCAAATTTTCTAGCTCCACCGGTTCGCCAAATACAAATGGTACTTTTCGTACCGTTCTAGTACGAATTTCCAAAAACCCAGCCTTATTTCAAGATTCTAGCTTCAGCCGTTTTATCTGTTTTTTTTTTGTATATTTTCTAAAAGACTTTCAGAGTTATAGACTTGAATTTTATATAAGCGTAGAGTTTGTGGGAATATTTTGTAAAGGATTTTAGAGGTATCAATTTCATTTGGCATTTAAATAACCTTTTTTATGGACCGTATTTATTTAATAAGTTCTAATTTATTTATAGAAAGAAATATAATCCAGTATATTTTCAAAAATTTCGTTTATTGTTTACTTTTTTGGTTTCTGTTTTTGTAAAATACTATTACAACAAATATATATGAACTATTTTCATATGTTACTATTATTGTTCAATAAACAACGTTCAATTTGTTCTATAACATTTAACAAAAGAAAACAAAATAACTAACAGTAATAATTCTTCTTATTTTTTTGGGAATGGATAACTTTTACAAAGCCCTAAAGTATACTACAAAATATATATGAATTTTAAATAAAAGCCTAAACGTGTTAGTTAAAATTTTCGATTAGAATCATCTTTGTTGGCCATCTTTTAAACCTTCGGTATTTGTTGATGAAGTTGTAGGCATTTCTTGGACAACATCTCGTGTTGGTGCAGCGTCTTGCGGCTTTTCCATTTGTACATGCAAATGCATTGGATTATAACCAGATTTTTGTCCCGCAGCATTTACATGTTGGGGTGCTACAACTGTGGGTTTATAAACACCAGCCAATTCTTGGGCCAACATATATTGTTCTTGTTCCGGGAAGTCATGTTCACAGTGGTGTTCACCACAAATTCGGCACTCGTATATGTTGGGACGTAAAGCATTTTGTAAACGCTGGAAAGGGATAATAATAATTAATTTTGAACATAAGTGTTTTTTAAATAAGTTCTTCTTTACCTCTTGTATATCACGACCAGGTGCCCTATACAAATTAAGCAACGCATAACCCGGTATACAAACCAATGAAAATGATGCAAACATCCAACCAATACCGTAAGCCCAATCGGGATAAGTGTAACGTCCATTGTGATAGCTAGGTTCTTTGTAGTTGATTAAACTCAATATCCAAATGGCCTGAAATAAAATTATTGGAATGTTATTGAAACGGAAGTCTTCTATATTTCGAAGTTATACTTACAAACAGCAAACAAGGTCCACATAATATCCAACATGATTTTAAATATAGTGATGGTGCCTTACCAGTCATTTGTTTGATATTTTTCGATAGACGTCCGGTACCATAAAACCAGGCTATTGCTATCATTTGACAGAACGCCAAGAACATAATGGTAACAGAGGCAGCATAATGATCCATCAGTTGGAAGAAATAAATACCACCCTGTAAAAGAAAATGACATACATAAAACAACATATACATACGTATATTTTCGAGAGACTTGTAAGGATATAGGCATGGATACTTAGTGGTTATACATATCTTAAGGATATAGTAAGGTATGGAAGTGGATTTGTAAAAGAATTTTTGAGGGTCTTGAAAGGATATGACTTGGATTTTTAAGTAATATTTTTTGAGGATCTGATAAGGCTATTAGCATGAACCTTTTTGAGCATTCGGGAATGGATTTTTTTAATAATACTTGTTGTGGATCTGAATGAGGATTCAGGAAGGATATATATGGATTTTTATAATAATATTATTTGAGGATTTAGAAAGACAATAGGCTTGGATTTTTTAATAATATTTTTTGAGGATTCAGGAAGACTGACAATTCAGGAAGGATATAGTTGAACATTTTTAAATAATATCATAAAAGGATTTAAGAAGGCTAAAGGCTTGGATGTTTTAACTGATATTATTTAAGGAATGATGAAGGCTATAGGCGTGGATTTTTAATTCAAATTATTTGAGGATTCAGGAAGGCTAAAAGCGTGGATTTTTAAATTATATTATTTGAGCATTCAGGAAGGTTATAATCGTGGATTTTAAATCATATTATTTGAGGATCGAGGAAGGCTGAAGGCATGGATTTTTTAATAATATTTTTTAAGGATTCAGGAAGGATATTGGTGTGGATTTTTGAATGATATTATTTGAGGATTCAGGAAGGCTATAAGCGTGAATTTTTAAATAATATTATTATGGGATTCAGAGAGGATATAGGAGTTGATTTTTGAATAATATTGTAAATTGAGGGTTCAAGGAGTCTATGGTGTGGATTTTTAAATAATAATTTTTGAAGATTCAGGAAGGCTACTAGCGTTGATTTTTAAATAATATTATGTGTGGATTCTGGAAGGATATATATTCAAGAAGGATATTGGTGTATATTTTTATACCTTTAGCCACACTGTGGTACGGGTAACAGACAAAAGGAAACGAGATAGACACATGGTTCTTTTTTAAAAAAATATGCATAGAATCAGTTTTTAAGTCGATGTATGCATGTCCGTCCGTTCGTCTGTCCATCCGTTGGTGTTAAATTGTAAACCAAGGTCGCATTTATGATCCGACTTAGCTGAAATTAGCCACAGGACATTTATTTGGCCTAAGAACGAACCCCATTGAAATTGGGAAAATCGGTTCAGATTTAGATATAGCTCCCATATATATTTTCGTCCGATTTAATGTAAATGGTGCACCAAAGACCTTATATATCTTTCGAGTTGCATGACATTTGACACAGCGTTCTGAATTAAGTCTACAACGTACAGAATTAAACCTAGAATGATGTGTGCTAAGTTTCGTGATTTAATGTAAATGGTGCACCAAATTCCCTATAAATATTTCGATTTTCACTTAAGGGGACCCCCCCCCCCCCATTCTCGGGGTCAAAATTGTTGTTGACTTAATTCCAATCTACACTAATTCAAGAATGTCCCTGCAAAATTTCAAGTGAAAATCTCAAGAACTCTTGAAGATATAGCCGATTTATGTGTCAGCATCAAGTAAAGGTTGAGGGGCTTCTCGAACTTTAAACGCGTTTTTCTCTAAACATTTTTTTGCGAATGGCGGGCACGATAACTCAAAAACTAATAACCCAATCGATTTCAAATTTTTACACGTTTCTCTGTGAGTGTATAGCTATCGTATGAACTAGGATAAAGCCAATCGGTGAAGATCTTCCTTATTTTTTAACTTGGTTTTTGGTAAAAAATCGGCGATTTTCCAAAAATATGTTTTCAAAGGTCCGCCATTTTGTTAATTTTAGAGCGAAGTCAATAATCCTAGTTCATACGAGAGCCAGACATGTACTCTTTCTAACACCGTTGGAATTTTCGGATTCCGATGTTCCAGTGAGGAGTTATCATGCCCGCCATCAAAAATAAGGACTTTTCTTTGATCACAAAAAACAACAACAAAACAACAACAAAATTTTTTTGTAAATTATTTTTATTCATTTTTAAATATTCAAATATATATGTGCAAAGTTACAAACCTTAACAAGCATTGGTATTCATTTACCAGCCCATTTAAAATCTTAAAAATAAAAAATCGAGAATGGGGGGGGTTCCCTTAAGTCTACAATGATGGGCGATATATATGGGAGCTATATCGAAATCTGAACCGATTTTCCTGATTCTAGACCCAATTTAGTACGCTAAGCCAAACTTTGTGCAAAGCGAAGCACACAAAGGGACTTTGGTGCAATATTTACCTAAAATCGGACGAAAATATATATTGGAGCTATATCTAAATCTGAACCGATTTTCACAAAATTTGGCACACATCGTTCTGGACTTAATTCAGTACGCTATGCCAAATTTCGTGCAAATCGAATATATATAGAGACATTGGTACCCCATTTACCTTAAAACGGACGAAAATATATATGGGAGCTATATCCAAATCTGAACCGATTTTCGCGAAATTTTGCACACATCATTCTAGACCTTATTCATTACGCTGCGACAAATTTCGTGCAAATCGAAAGATATTTAGGGATCGTTTACATTAAATCGAACGAAAATATATATGGGAGCTATATCTAAATCTGAACCGATTTTTCACAATTTCAATAGGGTTCGTCTTGGGCCAAATATGTGACCTATACCAAATTTCATCCAATTCGGATTATAAATGCGACTTGTACTTTGTTTACAATTTATCATCGACAGACAGACAGACGGACGGACGGACGGACATGCATAAATCGGCTCAGAGAGTTATTCTATGCATAATCTCAAAAGGAACCATGTGTCTATCTCGTTTTCTTTTGCCTGTTAGAAACATATGCAGAAAAGACATAATTCCCTGTACCATTAATTAGTATAGGTTGCAGAATGTTCCTTCAAAAATGCGACGACTGTTAGGGTTCATCTGTTGAATATACCCAAAGTGGTAAAGGGTATCATATAGTCGGCCCCACCAACTTTACTACTTTCCTTACTGGTTTTTTATGAATATTTGTTGAATAATTACTGTAGCCTTGAGTTTTTAAATTTTTTATAAAATATTTTTTTTTTTTTTTTTTGTAAAAAGAGTATCTTTCAATTCTACTCACCTGTATTAAATTTGGCAATCCAAATAGAAACGATATAACCGATACAATTAAAACTACAATTTCATGATAACCTAAATGTCTCTTAATCCAATTGGGGAAACCATCCTGTATTGAGGTGACAACAACTTCGACAATAGCAAACTGCGAACGAAAAATCATGGAATTTATTAAAAAACGCAAAACTATTTTGGAAATCATTTTGTCTCACCTGCGAATTCAAACCCAAACACAATAACATAAAGAAAAACATCACGGCCCACAGTTGGGCATATGGCATTTTGGCCATTGCCTGCGGATATACGACAAATATCAAGCCAGGACCATCACCAATGACATCTTTCACATTGGTATTTTGTTCCAATGCCAGATTACCCAATGTGGCAAAGGCAAAGACGCCGACCAATAAACTTGTCAAAACATTGACCACGCTCACGGCCACAGTATCCCGCAAAATATTATTATTGTATTTGTTATAGCTGGCAAAGGAAATCATCGAACCAAATGTTATGCCCAATGAATTGAAATTTTGTGAGGCGGCATTTATCCAGACATTGGCATTTTTCAGCTCCTCCCAATTGGGACGGAAAAAGTAACGCAAACCATCATCGGCTCCTTCCAGAGTGACAGCACGACCCATGAGTATAATGATCAAGATAAAGGGGAAGGTGGCAGTGAAGTAACGTACCTGAAATAGTAAGTCTTCTTTAACGAATCTCAAAGAAATAATATAATTTTGAATGTCTTACCTTTGCCGATGATTTAATCGATTTCCATGTGGCAAAATAAACCATCAACCAGGCACATATTAAACAGGCAAACAATTCCCATCTCATTGTACCGGGATACTCAATACCAGGGCTAATTTGTAATACTTTGTTCCTGCAGGGGAATGTGGGTAAATATAAAAAAATAATTATATGTATTTCAAATATGAAGTCATTGAAAAACATACTCGAAAAATTCCTCTGATGGTGTCCTTGACATGGGTGGCGATGTGGTATTATCGCCCACCCGTTGTGGTACCCAACAGTCGGGTGTGTTCCATCTGTATGGGAATGAAAATATAACTTATTTTTTGATTTTAAATAAGTATTGAAAAATATCTTACCGATTATTACAATCCACCCATGGCATTTCACTTTTAAAGGCTGTGAAAAAGTAATAAATCGAATATCCAATGATGACACTATAGTAGGTGGACATTAGAAATGACACCACTACACTTGCCAGACCAGCTCCTAGAAAGAATAGTAAAACAAAACATAAGGTTAGAATTAAATATTTTTAGGTTAGTTAAAAAAATATATTTTAAAGAATTTCTACGTGAATTTTAAAATACTACTACTTATGGAACTAAGATAATAGATTTTTTAAGGAAATGTTTTGAGGAAATCTCAGGCCTTAAAGCCTGAATTTTTAAGAACATTCAGAGTTGTAAGCGTCGGTTTCTTTTAAGGAATGTTTTCTTAGGAAAATTCTGAGCTATACGGACGGATTTTTAAATAATAATTTTTGAAGACAATTCGGAGTTATAACCGTGGACATTTTAAGAATTTTTTTGAGAGACTTTAAAGAATATTTTTGAAGGGATAACACAACCGATTGATAAGAAATTAAAATATTAGAAGCCCCTCTTGTATATACCCAATGTTGTGAAGGGTTGAATATAGTCGACGCCGTCTGACTTTTGTGTTTTCCATACTGTTTTAAATATTTCTCTCTCATTTCAATAACTGTGAAAACCGCCACCCTATAATATACACACATATATCTACATATATATTTTTTGCATATTTAATTTATAGTATTGAACAATTCTTTCAAGTATATGCTAATTAGTAAACTGTAACACACAAGTCGGAGGTATTTGGAGAATATTGTATGCTGATATACATAGTAACAAATATTTAAATTTAAAAAAATGAACCAGGAAATAAATATGCATATTTTTTGCACAGGCGTGGAGAAGGGGTGTATGACTGTGTGATATATATTAGGAAATTATGCAATTTTTCTTCATTTTATTAATTATTTGAATAAATTAAAAAGGCGGATCAAGTTGTTGACTCATAGAAATTAAATAGAATTTATTTGGATAATAATATAAAGTAAATGTAAAAAGCAATAAAATATAAGCCTAGATTCTGAAGAATAATTTCCGAAGGACTATCAGAGACATATGCGTGGATTTCTTAAGAATATTTTCTAAATGGCTATTAGAGTTATAGGCGTGCATTTTTATACCCTTCACCACACTGTGGTACAGGGTATTATGTCTTTGTGCATATGTTTGTAACAGGCAAAAGGAAACGAGATAGACACATGGTTCCTTTTGAGAATATGCATAGAATCACTTTCTAAGTCGATTTATGCATGTCCGTCCGTCCGTCTGTCTGTGCATGTTAAATTGTAAACAAAGTACAGGTCTCATTTATGATCCGAATTGGATGAAATTTGGCATAGGTCACTTATTCGGCCTAAGGACGAACCCTATTGAAATTGGGAAAAATCGGTTCAGATTTAGATATAGCTCCCATATATATATATATATATATATATATAACCGATTTAGTGTAAACGGTCTCTATATTTCTTTCGATTTGTACGAAATTTGGTACAGCCTAATCATTTAGGTCTAGAATTATGCCTGCCAAGTTTCGTGAAAATCGGTCCAGATTTAGATATAGCTCTCATATATAGTTTCGTTCGATTTCATGTAAATGGTGCACCAAAGTCCCTATATATATCCTTCGATTTGCACGAAATTTGGCATAACGTACTGAATTAAGCCTAGAGTGATGTCTGCCAAGCTTCGAGAAATCGGTCCAGATTTAGATATAGCTCCCATATATAGTTTCGTCCGATTTCATGTAAATGGTGCCAAAGTCCCTATATATCTTTCGATTTGCACGAAATTTGGCACAACGTACTGAATTGAACCTAGAATGATGTCTGCCAAGTTTCGTGAAAATCGGTCCAGATTTAGATATAGCTTCCTTTTATTATAGATTGATTTTAAGTAATTGACGCACCAAGGAACCAACAGGCTAATAGCAACAAAACGTTCTGAAATTACTATAACCTAACCTGTGACATGTTTGTTTGAAATCGATTAATATTTGGATAGAGCTTCCATATATATTTTCGCCCGATTTCAAGTAAATTGGGCATCAAACTCCTCATGTAGTCAGATTGACATCAAATTTTGCACAACATACAAAAATGAGCGTAGAATTACGTAGTTGCGTTTTCTAGAAGTACAGACATAGCCCAACGGATGACCTGTTTATATTTGTTTCACATTTAGATAAATATCACATATTTTATTTCATCCAATTTCATGTTAATAGTCCTGTTTAATATACCCATAGTGGTGAAGGGTATCATATAGTCGGCCCCGTCCGACTTTACTACATTCCTTACTGGTTAAATAATATTTTTTAAAGGATTATTAGAGCTATAGGCGTAGATGTTTAAAGAATATTTTAAGGCACTATCAGAGCTATAATCGTCGATTTTTATACTCTTCACCACACTGTGGTACAGGGTATTATGTCTTTGTGCATATGTTTGTAACAGGCAAAAGAAAACGATAAAGACACATGGTTCCTTTTGAGAATATGCGTAGAATCGATTAGCACAAAATTTGTCATAGCATACTGGATAAGGCCTAGAATGACGTACGTGAAGTTTCGTGAAAATCGGTTTAGATTTAGATATAGCTCCCATATACATTTTCGCCCGATTTAACGTAAATGGTGCACCAAAGTCCCTATATATCTTTCGAAATGCACGAAATTTGAATGATGTGTGTTAAGTTTCGTGAAAATCGGTTCAGATTTAGATATAGCTCCCATATATGTGTTCGTCCCATTTAATGTAAATGGTTCACCAAAGTCCCTATATATCTTTCGATATGCACGAAATTTGGCACAGCGTATTGAATTAAGTCTGGAATGATGTGTGTTAAGTTTCGTGAAAATCGGTTCAGGTTTAGATATAGCTCCCATATATATATTCGTCCGATTTAAGGTAAATGGTGCTCCAAAGTCCCTTAATATCTTTCGATTTGCACGAATTTTGGCATAGCGTACTGAATGAAGTCTAGAATAATGTGTGCAAAGTTTCGTGAAAATCGGTTTAGATTTAGATATAGCTCCCATATATTTTTTCGTCCGATTTAATGTAAATGGTGAACCAAAGTCCCTATATATCGTTCGATATGCACGAAATGTGGCATAGCATACTAAAGTAAGTCTGGAATGATATGTGTTAAGTTTCGTGAAAATGGGTTAAGATTTAGATATAGCTCTCATATATATTTTCGTCCGATTTTAGTTAAATAGTGCACCAAAGTCCCTATATATCGTTCGATTTGCACGAAATTTGGCATAACATACTGAATTAAGTCTATAACGATGTGTGTTAAATTTCGGTTAAGATTTAGATATAGCTCTCATATATATTTTTGTCCGATTTAAGGTAAATAATGCGCCAAAGTGTCTAACTATCTTTCGATTTGCACGAAATTTGGTATAGCACACTAAATTAAGTCTAGAATGATATGTTTTAAAGATTATCAACGGATTTCAATAATATTTTCTAAAGTACTATCAGAGCTATAGGTGTGGAATTTTAAAGAATATTTTGTAAAGGATTATCAGAGTTATAGGCGTGGATTTTTAAAGAATATTTTCTAAAGGATTATCAGAGTTATGGCGTGGATTTTTAGAGAATATTTTCTAATGGATTATCAGAGCAATAGGCGTGGGTTTTTAAGGAATATTTTCTAAAGGACTATCAGAACTACATGTGTGGAATTTTAAAGAATATTTTCTAAAGGATTATATAGAGAATATTTTCTGAAGGATTATCAGAGCTTTAAACGTGGATTTTTAAAGAATATTTTCTAAAAGTATATCCGAGGTATAGGTGTGAATTTTTAAAGAATATTTTTTAAAGGACTAACAGAACTACAGGCTTGGATTTTTAAAGAATATTTTTTAAAGGACTATCAGAACTACAGGCGTTGATTTTTAAATAATATTTTCTAAATGATTATCACAGCTATAGGCGTGGATTTTTAAAAAGAAAATTTTTTCTAAAGGACTATCAGTGCTATAGGAGTGGATTTTTAAATAATATGTTTTAAGGACTATCAGAGTTATAATGTGGATTTTTATTTGTATATTTAAATCGATTTTTTACTTTTATTTATTTTTTTCTTTTTTATACCACTGTACCCCATCCATCGTTTAGTTGTTAATCATTCAATTAAATAAAAATATATCTAAAACATGAAATGATTAAATATTCTTAACCTTCTTTGGACACTTATGTGTGCAGAAACGTGTGAGATGTTAATTATATAAATATTCAAAAGTTTTATTGGGTTGCAAATTAGCCACCACTGTCAGTTGGAAACACTCCCTCGTCCAAAATATACCGTCATATGACTGCACATGTAAACAAGTCATTTTGTTAGTAGGAACGTGGCGAACGTAATGCCAATTACATTAATGATCATTGGTAGTACTAATTATGATTTAAATTGTATAAATTACATGTGCATAGATGGAAACGACAGTTTATTTGTGTAATAAATATATGTATATGGTTTTTGTTTTTTTATAAATTATGATCATATATCAAAATATATCCAAGCTGAAGATCACTTGTCTAGACTAATTATCATCGTCGACGTCGTTGCTAATTTCGCCAACTAATTTAGTGTAAAATAGGAATATATAAATTACAATCATAGATGATTATTGCTAAGAAGCTACACATATACATTTCATACATACATGCATGTTTGTGGATTTGAATTTTTTAAATAGGAAATCCGTGGATTTGAATTTTTTAAATAGGAAATCCGTATATGCAAAAATGACTGCACAGCTCTGCTCTGAACATAATTATTTTCGGAAGAAATAAAATACTCCACTCAAAGCCAAGTGTTTTGTATGAATTATATATTTATATATGAATTAGCTTTGAGCACAGATTCATTTGTTGATCCATTAGCGAATAAATATTTCATATAATTTCAAATTGTATATGAAAGGTTTTAATGAACTTACCTTTAAATAGGGGACATAATTGTCCTAATGCTCCAATTGGTCCTCTGCCTGTGTATTGTCCAACGGATAATTCCATAAACAATAATGGTATGCTGCAGATAATTAGAATAATACAATAAGGTACGAGGAAAACGCCTGAAAAAAGAGAAATTAAAGGAAAATATTTAAGAATGATTTTAGAGATAAAACGGAGATATGTCTTTTCACTAGAAAGACAAAAAGGTCGGTATGAAGAGCCCATCTTCCAAAATAAAATGATAGCCATTTCAAACAAAATTAAATATCTGGGAGACCAGATACAGCAAAGGGCTGACAAGGCCCATAGATGCTAGTCTTTCTGTAGAAGAGCCGTAGGCTTTAAATGGGGTATAAATCCAAAGATGATGCACTGGATCTATAAGAGCGTCATTAGACCAATTCTAACATACGCGTCTGGTGGACAGCAATGGATAAAACATGTAACGTAAAACCGTTGCAGAAAGTTCAAAGATCGTGTTGCCTAGGTATATGTGGAGCAATGCGTACAACACCAAATAGGGCCTTGGAGACAATACTATATATACATCCAATAGGCATCCAAATAAAATATGAAGCGGCGGTTGCAGCTTTAAGACTTAAGGCAATGGACGAGTGGATAGACACCGGACACAACATACCGCACAAAAACATTTTACAGGCAACTACTGAGTCAACAATCAATATCTTTGTCTCAGACCGTATACCTGAAACGAGAGTAGTAACACGGTGCGAAACTATAATACCAGATAGAGAACAATGGAATAGTGGATCACTAGTTCAGATGCCGCCTGGTAGCTGTTGCTACACAGATGGCTCTCGGCTAGGAGGAAACCGAAATTTCTCTTCGTCTTACAGATCACAGCACGATCTTACATGCGGAGGTTAAAGCTATAAAAGAGTGTCTTAACTGGTTAAGTTCAAACCAAGGACAAAATACAGTAAATATTATTACGGATAGCAAACAAGCTATAAAGGCAATATCTTCCAAAACAGTTAAATCCAAAACTGTACTTGAATTTATAAATACCATTAATGATTTCTCATAACAAGGACCTGTACGAATTATATGGGTACCGGGTGACCAAGGTCAGCGGGTCACCAATCATAGGCAATGAGATAGCAAATCATTTAGGCAGGAGTGCTACTGCACTACCCACAATAGATGTGAATACCGCCAAACCCTTTATCGAAACACGCCAAGACATGAGCAAATGGGCAAATGAGACCCACAAAACCCTATGAGAAAATGAGGGGACAGGAAAAATAACCAAAATCTTATGGGGTGACCCAAGTGAACACAAAACTAAGCAAATCCTAACGCTAAACAAAAAGAGAGCAAAACAGGCCTCAATTGGCTTATGTGTATGTCCTTCTCATGTTGGATATGTGTTGGTATCATCCACCCCTCTTTTCAACATAACCTAACCTAGAGACATTAGCGAAGAGTTTTTAAATAAATATTTTTATGCAGATATGTAGGGTTGTATTTTAAAGAATATATTTTTTCAAACACCAAAATAGGCATGGATTTTTTAAAAAATATTTTTTTTTTCAAACACCAAAATAGGTGTGGATTTTTTAAAGAATATTTTTTTGTATTTTTAAAAACTATTTTTAGAGCATCAAACTAGGCATGGGTTAAAAAAAATATAATAAAAACTAGGCGTGGGTTTTTAAAATTTTTTGAAGCATCAAACTAGTCGTGTTTTTTTAAATATTTATTTTAAGCACCAAATTAGGCGTAGATTTTTTAAAGAATATTTTTTCCAAGCACCAAAATAGGAGTGGATTTTTAAAGAATATTTTTTCAAGCACCAAATTGGCATGAATTTTTTTAAATAATATTTTTTCCAAGCACAAAAATAGCTGTAGATTTGTTAAATAATATTTTTTCAAGCACTAAAAATTCTTTACGTAATGTACTCCATTTTGTAAAGAATTATTTTTCAAGCGCCAAAATAGGCGTCGATTTTTAAGATTTTTTGTGAAGCACCAAAATAGGCGTATGTTAAAAAAAATATTTTTAATTTTTTTCCATCGCCAAAAAAGGTGTGTGTTAAAAAACTAATAATAATTTTTAAACAGCAAAATAATCGAGGATATTTTAAAGAATATTTATTAAATTTATTTTAAAGATTTAATAATTAATTTTTTATTTTTAAAGAATAAATACAAAATCTAGCAAGTTTAATAATTTGCATAATTGTTTTTATACATTGAATGTCATTAATATATCTCCTTACATATAATAGCCTCTCTTTATGTTAATTGAAAATACAAACAGTTGTCACTTTAAATTTTTATTTGAAAATATAAATATTTTTTGACAATTCGTCTGTTTGATCAGGGCCACACTTCTGTGAGAAGAAGATTATGATATTTGAACAAACAACGGTACTTCGAAGCATAAATAATGTAAATGTTTGTTTTGGATATAATTGTGGACCGGATACTGGGTGTGATGAATAATCTTCTCTAAGGCAAATTGAAAAATATGTTTGAACGAATTTGTAGCTGCATACATTTGTTTCTACTTAAATAATTAGTTTTGGTCAGTATGGAATGGGTACGAGGTGGGTATGAGTTGTTGGGGAAATAACAAAATTATAAATTTGACGGAAAGAATATTTTGAAGCATTTGATATCTGGAAACAAGGATTTTTAATGGATTACTTTTGAAGAATTATCAGAGGTAAAAGCGTGCATTTTTAAAAGACTATTTGAATGGATTTTTAAAGGAATATTTTTGTAGCCACATCCCAGCTATAGACGTGGATTTTTAAAGGAATATTTTTGTAGCCACATCACAGCTATAGGCGTCGATTTTTAAAGGAATATTTTTGTAGCCACATCCCAACTATAGGCGTGGATTTTTAAAGGAATATTTTTGTAGCTACATTCCAGCTAAGAAATATTTTTGACCTCAAATTATTTTCTTCCAAATAAAAAAAAATTTCTTGACATTACCATACAAACCTCATCTAATTACAACACTTATCTTTCTAGACAATCAAATTTGTATTTATTACATTCATCATATCTGTAAGATTGTACAACTGTGTTATAATTTTTTTTCTTGTTCTACAAATGTTACGCAAACGGGAAATCGGCATTTAAATACTTAAAGTCTATCAAATAAAAAAATGCAGTTCGTCTCATTTCACACTTTTCTATTATCGCAAAAACCGACAACAAAATGTGAGAATATTAAGAGTATCCATTGAAATCCAACTTACCTCCGCCACTTTTATAACACATATAGGGAAAACGCCAAACGTTACCCAGACCTACGGAATAACCAATGCAGGCTAAGACAAACTGCATTTTATTGGCCCAATGCTGTTGACGTGGTTTCAAGTTGTTCGAATCATCGGACATATCCATATAGCTTTCATCGTCATCATCATCAACACCGGGTAGTCTAAAGGGAAGAGAGACAATTTTTTTATAAAGTTATTCAGTTTATTGGTAATAAATAGTTATTTATAAAATAATTGTTTTAAAGTAGAAACAAATTATTCTTGAAAGTGATCGGAATTACTAATTGCATAATTAATTTGAATTAGTATTGTATTGCAATGTTATTAAACATTCCTATTTTACATATATTTAAATGAGAGATTAGGGATGTTGGATGATAAATAATCTTTGAATAACCATCAGATCAAAATAATTTTTTATGGAATTTTTAGATTTATAAAGTTATATTTTCAAAGAATATTTTTTAAATAACTTTTAAGGCTAATGTGTGGATTTTAAATAAAATTTTTGAGGAGCGTGTAGTTTACACATTTTTTTGGGGACTACAATGAGTCTATGGTGGAATTTTTAATAATAGGTTTAATGAAAATGAGCAGGGCTACAAATATGGATTTTTAAGCATTTTTTATTTTTAAAATGCATACATATGTTGTTTAAACTCCATTTTTAAATGGACTGGCAGAGCTTTAAAAATGGATTTTTAAAAATATTTTAAGTGATTAGAAGATTTATAAGCGTGGATTTTTAAAGAATACTTTTTATAAGACTACCAGAGCGTGGATTTGTTAATGAATATTTTATAGGGTACAATATAGGTAACTCAATGTAATTTCAGATTCATCACACTGTGGTGAATTACCCTGTATTATGTATATGTGCATATGTTTGTAACAGGCAAAAGCAAACGAGATAGACACATGGTTCCTTTTGAGAATATGCATAGTATCACTTATTAAGTCGATTTATGCATATCCGTCAGTCCGTCCGTCTGTCCATGTTTAATTGTAAACAAAGTACAGGTCGTATTTTTGATTCGAATTGGATGAAATTTGGCACAGCTCATTTATTTGGCCCAAGGACGAACAATATTGAAATTGGGAAAATCGATTCAGATTTAGATATAGCTCCCATATATATTTTCGTCCGATTCAAATTTGACCAATGTACCTACATATCTTTCGATTTGCACGAAATTTGGCATAGCGTACTGAATTAAGCCTAGAATGATGTGTATTAAGTTTCGTGAAAATCGGGTCAGATTTAGATATAGCTCCCATATATTTTTCCCCCGAATTATTGTAAATAGTGCACCAAAGTCCCTTTATATCCTTCGATTTGCACGAAATTTGGCATAGCGCACTACATTAATGGGTCGATTATGGAAAGCAACCAAACTCCAGTTGCGATTTCAACTGGCGTGGCATCTATTAGAAGTCATTTAAGAGATAAATCCAATCCATTAGAACTACCATCCGTACTGTGTGTAGATGTTTATGTTTAGAGAAATGTTCAATCAAATGCTCATTTCAGCTTTCAGGCGTATTTTCGGCTACCAAAAGATGCCATTGTGTACTTATTTGAAGCGTTAAACTCAGATTTCCGAAAAGTCCGACGATCAACAGCAATTCCTTCTTTCATAAAAGTATGAGCAGCTCTGATTTTTTTTTTTGCGGAGGGAAGTTTTTAAAAGGCAATGACTTCAATCTTGACATGGCTCTACCCACAATGTCGGTGATTTTGACCGAATAGAGGAAAAACTGCGTAAAATTTGGATTGTTTCCAAATTAACAGAGGAGGAAAAAGGGAAAAATAAACATTTTTTTTACTCGAAAACAAAGTGAAAATCGGTTCAGATTTAGATATATATTTTCGTCGGATTTTAGGTAAATAGTACACCAAAGTCCCTATATATCCTTCGATTTGTACGAAATTTGACATAACGTACAAAATTAAGCCTAGAACGATGTGTGTTAAATTTCGTGAAAATCGGTTCAGATTTCGATATAGCTCCCATTTTGTCCGATTTTATGTAAATGGTGCACCAAAGTCCCTATATGTGATTCGATTTGCACGAAATTTGGCATAGCGTACTAAATTAAGTCTTAAATGATGAGTGTTAAGATTCGTGGAAATCGGTTCAGATTTCGATTTTAGGTAAATAGTGCACCAAAGTCCCTACATATTTTTGGATTTGCACGAAATTTGGCATAGCGTACTGAATTGTGTCTAGAATGATGTGTGGTAAGTTTCGGATCGGTTCAGATTTCGATATAGCTCAAACATATTCATATATATTAAACTCCTAACGTTTGTCCGATTAACACGAAATTTTGCACAACCTATCAAATTGAGACTTGAATGACGTTATTGGGTTTTGTTGAAATTGGTGTAGATGCAGCCATAGCTTCCACATGTATTTCAAACGGGTGTCGGATTGAAATTAAATTTTTAACAGTGCGGCGTACCGAATAGCGTGTATCAATTTTGCCGAATGAAATTAAATTTTGCCCGAATGAAATTAAATTTATCATAGGTTGCAGAAAGACATGCGTATGTTCCTTCTAGGGAACATTGACATACAATTGTAAGGATACATATGCGCAATATACCCAAAGTGTTGAAGGGTATCATATGTGATATGAATCGAACAACGCTACTTGAATGTAAATGTTTGTTTGCATATAAGTATGGATCGGATACCGGGCGTGATGAATAATCTTCACTTAGGCAAATTTCAAAAAAAAGTTGAACGAATTATTACGAATTTGTAGAAGAAGAAGATGCATGCATAAGTTGCTACTTAAATAATTAGTTTTGGTCAGTACGGAATGGGTACGAGAAAGGTATGTTTTGTGGAAAAAAGTGAAATACTTCCAAAAATTAAGTGGGAATATATATTTTCGATCTTTTGTCGATTTTTTGTTTCGATCTTTTGTCACGGCAATATGCGTGGATTTTGAAAGGAATATTTTTGAAGTCACATCCCAGGTAAAGGCGTTGGGTTTTTTTTGAAACCACGTACCAGCTATAGGCGTGGATTTTTAAAGAAACATTATTGAACACAAGGCGTCGGTTTTAGAAGAAACATTTTTGTAATGAAATGATCTTTGCGGAACATTTTCGGTATATGATCATGATTTAATATAAAGTGTTAGCAACATTTTCCCACCCGTTTTGGTAATTAAAAGCTTTCACAGCATTTGTATTCAATAGAAGGAACTCTATTTTTTCATTCCGGGTTTTTGGAATATGAAAATCATCCATATTTTAAAGCTTTTGGGCATGCTATATGATTGCATTAGTATCTTCCTACTAAAAAAATTCAATATTAAAATACCGAATATGGCGAATATAGCCGCCATATTCGATATTTTAAAGCGTTTGTGCACATTTTTAACATAATTGGTTCTAGTTAAATATTAGGGATTCTCATTCAGCAGAATATCTAACAAAATGTATCAATATTAGCTCAAGGTATCGTCTAAATTATTGCAGTAACATTTTGGTCCGTTGGCAATATTTACTTGTGTTACAAACTCTTCCGCTTCACAGCAAAGTTGTGTATAGGGCTATAAAATCGACTCAATTATTTTTAAATGTTACAGCAATAACTCATCTCTTGTTTGTGTGACATGGTTCCGCTTCATGACATGTCGGTCGAATGGCAGGCATAATTTTTATGCCATAATTAAAATTTTAAGCTATCGCGTTTATCGCTCCATAAATCATGTTGTTAATTTAATTATGAACCAAAAGTGTTATTACAACATTCTGTCGGTCAATGTGTCGTCGTCCATGCATGCGTATGGTCGGCCGGTTGGAGTTTGTTAATAGATGTTGTATTATTCTGAATAGAGCAGAATGAATTGAAATATAGGAATCTCGATTTTTAAGAAAAATGTGAGTTATTCATTTGTTTGGGTATTTTATAGACAGAAGGACCTATCAAATTTTACAATAGAAAAAAATATTTTACATAACAGGTTACCAATAGTTCAAATATTCATTTTTAATTAAGTGATATAGTAAATGCTATCAGTGGGTAAAATACATTTTATATATAATCTGGAATGATCTATGTATTCTCAATATAGAATATATTCTATAACAAGAACACCTTATATGGGTATTGACATCCCTAACATTTTCAATTTCATAGCTTTCATTTCAAGAGTACTCAGAAACAAACCTAATTCTAAATAATACTCAATTCTATAAAATCCAAATACATACATGTATGTCGGTACTTTAATGACATCCAATCAAACATATGTACATACATGTATGTATATAACTATTCATCATGTATGTATATAACTATTCATCATGTATGTATATAATATAAACACAGCAGTACTTGTAATCATCAACATCGTTCCAAACAATTGTTGTTGTTGTAAAATTTGAAAACAGAAAAATAATAATAATAATTGCAAATAAACACGTTTATTTATTTGTGGACCTACTATCAAACGAATAGAAAATAAACGAGAGGAAGGGATAATAAACAATAATAATAAAAAATAACATTTATACAAATGGAAAATGTGTTGACAACAATTAAATTCACATCATTAGATAAAATGTGGTGGGATCTTAGGCGTTCATTCACTCCATTCGCCACACATTGATTTACAATCCAAATCAAAATGATCAAACATTTAATTTGACAGATATCGAATAGCAAACATTGACTTCTATATCTAGATTGTAATAAATGTCGTAGAAGAAAATGCATTTCAACGTTTTTTGTTATTGACATAAACGGTTTTTGTAAATTGAAATGTTTGTAATGAATAAAATTTGTGGTGTTGAAACAGATCATCCGGATAATTGGTAAAGACGCAAAGAATTTTTAACACTAGATTTATGGATGTTGATTATAAACCTAGTTTTACAGACTTGAGTCAATTTTTATACCCTTCACCACACCCTTGGTACAGGGTATTATCAGCCTGTTTTTGTAAAATTCTAAACGAACGAATTCGAGTGACTTACGACCAAACTCCTTGGTTTTGAAAAATATGTCATTTATTTTTGTTTTGAATCAAAAAATATTTGTTTACATAAACAAAGGTTTGGTCGTAAGTCACTCGAATTCGTTCGTTTAGAATTTTACAAAAACAGGCTGTATGTCTTTGTGCATATGTTTGTAACAGG